TTTGAAAGCACCATCACTAAAAATAGCCTGAGATATGACAGATAAAGACGAGGTCTCTTCTGAGAAGAATAACGCATTTTGCACAAGTGGATGTCTTTGCTGTGTTGTCCTTGGGGAGGCTGAGCTTTACAGGGTGCCGGCTGTCGGCAGCTTTGCTCAGTAAACACTCGGCTTCGATGTGCTCGGAGGTGCAGGTACCACCATTCATAGACATGGGAGGTGCTTATCGCCTTATCTCCTCTCCACTCCATCCTCGGATCCAACCCAGGTTGAAACAAACGCTCTCTGCTTGACTGCAATACCTGGCCGTCGGCTTCCTCATATCAACCTTGCAGAAATTAATCAGCTTGGTTGGGATCACCTGAGATGCACACGCTGCTCAAGCCTCCATTTATCACTCTAAGAGCCAGTGCCAATTACAGTGGCACCAATGATAAATCTCAAGCCCTCCAAAGAATATTAGATATTTAATTAGATCTTAAAGTCTCTCTTCACCTAGTATCATCAGGGTCTCCAGGTCCTCTTTTGAAGCGGATAATTAAAGCAAAAGCTCAGCCCTAAGTCCCGTGTTCTCGGGAAAGCCGAGAGTGCTCATCAGAATAATTATAAACCCTGAACAGAGGCCTGGCTTGAGCAATCACAAGAAGCCACAGAAAGAAATGTAGATAGAACTCCCAAAGCTAGTTGGCTACTTATTTATTCAAATATTCCATAAATATTTTGTAAGGCAGAATAATGGTCTCCCGCGATGCCTTCCTCCTAATCCCCAGAATGTGTGAATGTGTTTAAGTACACGGTGGAAGGGAATTAAGGGGGAAGATGGAGTTAAGAGCACAAAGCCGCGGGTTGTAAAATAGAGAGATTAGCCCGGATTATGCAGGTGGCCCAGGGTAATCACAAACGGCCCTGCAGCACAGGAGGAGGCCAGAGACTCAGCGGTTTCTGAGTGTAGGAAAGAAAAGCACAGAGAGCTGCAATTCTGATGGCTTTGAAGACAGGAAAAGGGGACCCAGCCATGGCACAAGGACAGCTCTAGAACCAAGTGTGGAAGCAGGTTCACCCCAGCACCCAGAGCCCCCGGCATCTGCCCACACCCTCCGGAACCTACAAAAGGACAATTGCTGTTTTAAGCCACAGTGTTCTCAATGCTCAGTTAATGGCTCTGTGCTAGGTCCTGGGGACACAGTGGTGAAGACAACAGCCACGAAGACCCAGTAGAGGCAGACGGAGAGACCAGCAGGAGAGATGGTGTGGGCTGCTTGGACTCGGGCAGTAGCCGCGAAGATGGTCCAAGACGTATTTCAGGAGTAGAACTCAGACTTGCTGAGGGACTGTGTGCAAGATGAAGAGAAAACAGCGTCTCTTTGTGTTTGAGGTTTGCTTCTGGGCCACTTCTATGGTTTTCTGAAGCCAGAGGGAGAAGGCAGGAGGGACACAGTCTCTGTCCTACTTTATTGACTGAGTAGTCAGTTCTTACACATATATTCAGTCAGCAGTATTTGCTGAGTTGTAACGAGGAGCTAGGAGCTGCCTGGGACACGGCTGTAAATTTCCCAGCCTCTCCTTGGGTGGGGTTGGTGTCTGAGTGGTAGAAACAGGACACCGAGTCAACCCAAAAGTGGAGAACAGAATGCAAGTTCAGGCAGCCCTAGGCTGGACTCAGCTGAGGACTGTACATTCCCACCTTGGGGTGACATTCCTGGCGAAGCTATGAACTCATCAGTCTAATTGAGAATTAGTGGTGTTAATGATGTGTTTGCCCTAACAAGCAGAAGAGCAGTGGGTCTCTGTCACCTCCTTTGGAGGTTCCCTCTTTTGCTACCCAAAGATGAATGGGGCCAGGGAAAGTTCTTTTTTCTCTCCTGCAGTGCTAGAGATTGAACTTGGAGCTTCGTGCATGCTAAGCAAGTGCTCTACCACTGAATGACACCCAGCCCTTTTGCATTTTAATCTTTAAATAGAGTCGCCTTATGTTGCCCGGGCTGGCTTTCGACTCTAGATCCTCCTGCCTCAGCCTCTCACTTAGCCAGGATTACAGGTGTGTACCACCATCACACCTGGCTAGCATGCCTTTGTGTTTAGTAAAAGAAAAGTAGAGATAAAAATAAAGACAAAGTGATGTAGGGAAAAAAAGTGACAGGAAGGGCACCAGCAGCACCAACCTAATAGTCACGATGGGGTGGTTTTCAGCCATTTTTATTTTGAGTTGGGATTTCAATAATTTGCTCAGGTATTCTTGAACTTCAGATCCTCCTGCCTCAGCCTCCTAGGTAGCTGGGATCACAGCACCAGGCTGAATAGTGACACTGTGACTCAGCAGCACTTAGAACCCTCTCCCTTTATGTCCACAAAAGGTAGTAGCAAGTCCAATTAGGCTAAGAAATTCACTCTTAACAAACATGCCGGAGACACATTTATGCAGAATGTTAACATCCAACTAATTCTTCCTTTGTACTCAGATTTTACAAAAGTTGGTAATACCAGAAACCCACTGCTCCCCAAAATGTACATTTACCAGCCTAAAACAATAAAAGTAATTGAGTAGATAAAGTTTTCTGAAACTTCTTTATGTTAAAAAAAGAAGAAGAAGAATATGTAGGTGTGGTTGTGCACACCTGTAATTCCAGCTATTCAGGAGGTTGAGGCAGGAGGATTACAAGTTTGAGGCCACCTTGGGCAACTTAGCCAGGCCATTTCTCTAGATTCAAAAGAGGTAAAAAGGACTGAGATGTAGCTTGGTAGCAGAGCACTTGCCTAGCATGTGTGAGGTCCTGGGTTCAATCCCCAGTACAAGAAAGAAAGAGAGGAAGGAAGAGAGGGAAGCAGAAAGGACAGAAGGAGCAAAATGCTGAACACATCACAAACTCAAAAATTATGTTAGGCTTTGGGCTCCTTAGTGGTCACAGGGTCCTGGTAGTATTCAGCTCAGGCCTCTCATATGAGATGTGTAAATGCCAGTTTGATAAAATAGATTAGTACATCTATATCTGAGCAATAACCTTGTGACTCGATAGTATAACTACACAACTATCATGTACAAAATAGTTCTTTTCCTTATAGCAATAACTGAAATTTTTTTTTAGAGTAAAAATTATTATCATCTATTGACAGAACAGGAAAGAGACTTATAGAGTAACCAGCAAAAACATCAACAAAGCATCCACCACTAAGTGTAGGACACGGTGTCATCTGGTGTCACTGGGACAAAACACCTGACACCCGCAATTTAAAAGAGCGGAGCTCTAATTGGCTCACGGTTTCAGAGGGTTTAGTCCATGGCCAGCTGGCTCCCAGGGAGGACTAGCATGGTTGAAGAGTGGGCAGAGCAAAAGTGTTCACTTCCTGGAGGCAAAAAAGCACAGCTGGGGAGCAGAACCAGAGGCCAGATATACAGTCCTACTTTGCTTTTCAACTGCTTTGGTATTGATGCGTCCTTATGTGATTTGTGGGGGGGTATTCCACACAAAAGCTAGAACATGTTGGTGTTGATTGCCTTGTGACTTGCTACCTTTTCCACCCAAAACTATTTGTTCGGTACTTATCATACTTCCCAGAGCCAATTAATGGTGAGCACCAAGGTACCACTGCAGTCCCCAAGGTCACACGGGACAAGGTCAGATTTCCATGACTCACCCAGACATGCCAGGAAGTTTGCCTTGCTAATCCCCTAGGCTGCTCTTAAACCAATCAAGCTGATAATCCAGCTTAACCAATACGCTGTGTCGGGAGATGGTAACACAGATCTGTATGACGATGCAATATTTGCTTTTTGATAGGTTTCTGTACTGGAGAGAGAGAGAGAGAGAGGAGACAGGAGTAAAAGATGAAAATAATGGTGATGATTTGTGATGCTTTGTCTAGAATTTATCTGAACGGTTTGATGCTGTTACATTTAATCCATCCTATGAGACAATCATGGTCCTATACATACTTTGCCAATGAAAAACAGAGAAATTAAGTAGCCTGCTAAAAGTCACAGAGCCTATAAATCATGGAATTCAGAGTCAAATCATTGGCACCAGAAAATCCTCTTTCTGGGCAACCTCCCCCTACTTAGGTAACACCCAGAGAAAATACCTGTGAGTATAAATTCCCTCTCTCCCTGCAAATTCCATGTTAAACACATTGAAAAACTCAGCAGCCATTCATGTTACAAAGATTCCTACTACACAGCTAAAAAGGAGAAATGATAATTTCTTTCAGTGTTTGCAATTAGTGTCACTGTTGTTATCATCATGATGTTAAGTTTCATTACATAATCCCAGCTCTCACTGGTAAACACAAACCAATTCAAGCTCCCACTAGAATGCAACTTTCACTTGAAAATTTCACATACATTTTTGGGAAAAAAGACATGATTGGAGAAACTTTTATGATATATAATGTTTAGTGACCACACTGGATACAGAGCTGCATGTAGGTTATAATACACTTCAGTTTGTGCCTAGAAAAGGTCCTTTTAATGTCTGAGATTTTTAAAAATTAAGTTACAAAAATACATAAATACTGTAGTTATTTCTGTGTGACAGTTCTTGGGATTACTCCTATTTTTCACCTTTAGTGATCCTTTATTTTCCAAAGTTTATAGAAGGATTTATAGTGTTCATGTATCTGGAAAACTGTGATATCAAAATCAACACACACATCTATGGGCACACTCTCTAGAATCAAATAAATATTACACTGATGTTACAGATTATTTTTACATGTATACAAGACCATACGATATACTAGAGAATCAAGAAATAGCAAGCATATTTCTACTTGATCACATCTAAGCTGCAACTTTATTAATAAAATGAAAGTGTATTTCCTAGGTTAGGAGAGTGTAAAATAGGCCTTTCTCCCTTGGATGAATGACTTTTACCTGGAGTCACAAACAAAGTGAGAGAAATGTAAACACACCATAAAGGCTTCCTCCCATTTCTCCAGGAATCCAGCATGAAAGAGAATAGAGGGATCCTAGCAAAAAGGAAAAAATAAAAGCTACAACCACTTACCCTCTGGGTGGAGGCAGGTGTAAACTGATGCGAGGAAAGAGTTAACCCTAACCCCAATTTCCAAACACCTGCAAAGTCGGGCCTTCTCTTGTGTGCTGGGAGGAGGGCAGGACTTTCCATCGGGACCCAGGAGTTCCAGCAGCCTCATCTTGGATTGGAGCACACACTACCAGCTTGGTCACTCCCAGAGAGTCTGGACAAGGCTGGGGCCGGTGCCATTCCAACTCTCAGGAACAGCTCTGCGAGCAGGGAGCAGGAAATGTAATCCTGTGAAGATGAAGATGATGGGTGTTTGTTTGGCTGCCCCAGCACAACAGGAATTATCTAATATTCCAAGATGTGAACATCACAGGCAAAAATGACTTCATTTTTAAAGCCCTAGCTACATGCTCATAGTAACAGGCCTGCTAGGGTAGTGCCCCAGAGTCCCAACTCCCACTGCACACGGCTGGGGAGAAGCTGTGATGACTGTGGTTTACATGATGGCATCTTGCACAGTGATCTTGGACACGGAAATGATGTGGCAGTAGGATGAGACTCTTGGGAATCATGGGAGGGAGACAGAGGTATTTGTCTGGGATCAAAAAACACACTATGGCAGGTAGGGCCCAGAGATCTTTGTGCACAGCGATGTATACCTTTTAACACTCCCTCTCCACCGCGGGAGTCATGGGCTGGGACACTGGCAACCAACTTGCTAATCAGTGGGCATTAAGTTAATCAGGGTAGAGTGTCCCAGGTCCCAGGTGCACTGAGCTGCTCCAGGGAGCCGTGGTAGGATGGTGAAGGAGCTCTGGTGTGATCCTGCTTGCTCAGGGGTGGAGCCATGTAGTAACAGGGGACACTTCTAGTAGCTCAAAGCAAACCCTGCCACCAGCCCTCTGGGAGATGGGGACCTTCAACCCCCTGTACTAGGACCCCAGCCTTCTGGGCTCTAAGCAGGGAGTCAGAGGACCATGCTCAGTATGTCCTGACCGTGGACACCACAATGATAATGCGGAGCATTTTAAGCCACTAAATGTGTGGTGATGCCTTACATAGCAATTTCAAACACAATGCTAACATGTGGGACCCAGCTGCTATGTTATAATCCAGTCACACCTGAATGTTTTGCATCTAAAGCTCCTATGATGCTAGCGACCTAATGAACAAAACGGTGTTTCTCCCAAGTGGAATTTTCTCTAGAAATCCTACTCTCACAAAGAAAGGATTTCCCCAGGTATTCCTGGGGGTAGTGAATAGTGTCTATGGATGGGAACAAAGATACCTCAAATCAAATAGAAGACATGAAATTTATTTTGTCCACAGTGTACTGCTAAGAAGGCACTCAGAGGCATAGCCCAGATTGCAAGTATTTTAAAAATTATTTTAAATAAAAATGCACCCAGTTTTTGTCTTGTTTTGTTTCTTTGGTGTTCAGAACAGAGTATCTTGGCCAACCTTCAGAGGTCCCTGAAAAGGCTGGACAAGATTCTGAGTGTAATTATAACTCAGGAACCCTCACAGAGCCACAGTAGGGTCCAAGGCAGTGGGCACCTGTGAAGTCCCAGTAGTCGCACTCCCATAGCCAAAAGGCTAAGGCAGCCCTGCTTCGTCCAGGTAAAGCAGACTAGATTATATCTGTGTGGTTCATGCACGTTGCCTATCAGACACTAAAGGACTCTGTTTCAAGAAAAATAGGAAAGAGAATAGGTGGAAGTAGAGATGATTCCTTTTCCCTCCAAAAAAGCTTGATATGTAGATAAGTAGAAATATTTTATGCTATTATTAGTGCTGACATTTGTCCAGCAGTAAATGACAAGGGATGTACCCAGCCCATGTGGGGAAGACAATCGGGGACCACACGGACAGTGGAGAACTCAAAGGGAGCCACCAGACACCCCAGGTAATTGAGGCTCCAATCCCCACCTTTTCTCTGCCACAGAGCCAGAGCAACCAGGAATATTCCTAAAAGTAACATTTCAGAGAGTCTATTCACTTGGTCTGGAATGGCACTGTGAGATCTTCTTTTCTTTTCTTTTTTTTATTTTTTTACCAGAGATCGAACTCAGGACCTCAACCTTGTGAGGCAGGCAGCAGCACCACTGAGCTAAATCCCTGGCTGTGGAAACTTCATCTTACCAATCCTTAGGTCACCCTGTCTGATCAAAATACAATAGGCATCACAGTTGCAAGCTGCACATGTGACTCTAAATCTTCCAGTTGCCAAGTCTAAAGCAAGAAAGGGGAAATTTAACAATATATTTTATTTCCCCATGTCGATCATCTCCACATGTAATTATTAACAAAAATCACAAAATTTTAAGACCTCAAAAATTTGCATGCATTCTACACTGACAGCCTACCTCGATTCATACTAGCTGCATTTCAAGGGCCTGGTTTTTATTATTGCAAGAGAATTCTTTCACGTTCAGTCTTGTGGAAATTCTACTTATGCTAATTTCCATTGCTGATGCTCACACTACTCAAAATCAGTGTATTTGGCCTCTACCAACACTGTTCTTAAAACTTAAAATAGCAGGTGCAGGGCCCAATCCCTGCTCTGCTTTAAATTAAACAGTGTGAGCTGGGACAAGTGCCCCTTTCGCTTGTCAAGTTGCTAAATTTGCCAGCAGTAAGTTTTTTACTCAAGAAGATCTTGGAGATCTTTCTTTGATTCACTAGAGCTGCCAAATGGATTATCTTCCAACTAGATCCAAGAAGAGTGTGTGCTTTGTCTTGGGCTCCTCTCCTCGTCTTGTGAGGCTTCTGAGCAAATGCCCCAGCAGGAACACGGTCTGTCCCCTCTGCAGTTCCCTCCACTTCAGGGGAGGGTAGTAAGAGGTTGGAGGTTAAATGTGGCTTTAGAGCTGGGCCTTGATCAGGAGCAGATAATGCATGGAGATAAAGCTCAACCTCATGGCTGAGACGGAGAGAGACCAGCTCCTTCTCTCCCCTTCCCCCTCCCTCTCCACTCCCCTCTTCCTCTCTCTCTCTCCCTTTCTCTCTCCCTTCCCCCACCCTCACCCCGCCTCCACTTGATGCCCTGTATTGCCTTGGAACTCTACCAGCAACAAACAAGGCCATCACTAAATGTGCCCCACTTCAGTGAAGCCTTGAACTGAAATGATTCACATCTTTTCTCTATGCTTTATCCAGCCTAGGTCATTCTGGCATCAGCACTGGAAAGCTGAGGAACACAGAGAGCTAAGGCGAGTCACAGAGGAGCTACTCAGCCCTGTGGGCAGCCAATTCAGGCAGCTTAATGCTATCACACTACTTATAACTGCTCGTGTTGATTAGGGCAGTGGCGGCCATGCTAATGTCACAAACAACTCCCCAAAGTCAGGTGCTTAAAGCAAAGTGTGTTTCACTCATGCCATGTGTCCAGGGTGGGTTAACACCGTCTGGGGTGAGTTGAATTATGTCCTCCTGAGGCTTCCGTATTGAGGCCCTAATCTCAGGTAACCCAGAATGCAACCTTTTTTGCACAGGAAGTCATCACAGACGCAACTGGTTAAGGTGAAGCCAGCAGGAGTAGGGTGACCACATCCCGATGTGACTCGTGTCTGCACACAGAGGGGAGGTTTGGAGATAGATGCACTCAGGAAGACAGCAGGTGCAGATGAAGGCAGAGGTTAGGTGAAGTCTCTGTGAGCCAAGGACGTCACAAAGGTTAACAGCAAACCACAAGCAGCTGGCAGAGGAGCATTTTCCACATGGTCATCAGGAGGACCCAACCCTGCCACCTGGATCTCGGACCTTTCACCTCCAGAAGTACCAGATACATTTTTGCTGGTTCAGCCACGCAATTAAGGTAGCCCTCGGTGTCCACAGGAGGCTGAGGCAATGAAGACTCTGTTATCTGTAGCCATGTGGAACTCACGGCCTTTTCAGGAATCAGACCCTGGGAGGAGGTGGCTGGAGGGCTCCGTGCTTTGGCTCAGGAGTGACACAGCCACTTCTGTTTGTAGTCCTTGGAGGACTGAGGAGTGTTAACTGCAGGGCTGAGAGACAGGGAGGATCTGCTGTGCATCATGACTTCTGGCACCCTTCCTAAAGCGCCCTTTCCAGAGACTAAAACACTCAAGCACAAGCACACTTTGCAGCCATGCATGATGATGCATGCCTGTGATCCCACACTCTGGGAGGCTGAGGCAGGAGGATCACAAATTCAAGCCCAGCCAGGGCAACTTATCAACTTCTCCCTGTGGTTATGGGGTGGGGGTGGGAGTGAGGATCAGGTGAGGATCATGGATGATGCTTACTTCTGAGTCAGTACAGAAAAGAGGTCAGAAGGCCTGATCTTGGCCCCAAAAAACATCATCTCTCCCTACATGTGTATATCCCTTTACAGACTGCTTTTTCCTAGGTTTTGGCCTTTGGCATTTTCGACCTTCTCAGAAGACAGACATTTCAGATGAAGGGAAGATCACAGACACTAAATGGTCTTCCCAGACTCAGTAAGGTCAGGGGCTTTGGAAACCAAGATCAGAGCCCATATTTCTCAGGGGTTCCCCAAGGGGCCCTCACCACACCCCTGGCACAGAGGCTCGGCTCTAATTAGTGATGGCACAGCTGGTCCCCGCTCTGGGAAGACTCTTGAGACAGGAAAAGGGGCTCAGTGCCCCTTCTGGAAGATCCACTCCCTCTCCAGCCAAGGGTGCTGGGATAGCCGAGTGAGTGAACAGGGAGCTGGTCGCTGTTATTTCCCACGGTCTTTCAGGCTCCCCCACCCGCTGCTGGTTCCGGAGGAAGCCTGGGTGAGACGGGTTTGTCCTGATACATGTGATGGCACCGCATGTAACGGGAAACCAGAACAGCCGTGCAGGGTGCCAGAGTAGACACCAGCCAAGCTGTCAGGGGCTGGGGTGACGGAATTAGGTAGCATTTCCCTCCTGAGCACAGTCTTGAGAGACTTTACGATCATGCAGCGGGAGGAAGAATATTAAAGCAGTTCTTCTAAGATGATGTTTTAATTGCAGAAGGATCACAGCCCGGCATCTCCGCCTCTTGGAGTTTAGGAAAATGTCTAGAAAGTGTGTGTGTGTGTGTGTGTCCTAAGAGAAAGGCTGGTACGCAATTGCGAATGATTACCACTGGGGCAGGCCAGGCTGACATCGTTCTCTCCCAGCAGGCTGACAATCAGAAACCTGCTTCCCAGTCGGTGGTTCTGCACGGCTGGAACCCTTTTCCCTTTATTCCCGAATAGAATGGAAATTCGGATCTCATGCCTCTCCTTTTTGCTTTCATGGGCCATTTATCATATCAAAGCCCATTTGTCTGGGCACCAGCCTAACCCAATTAGGTAAACAGTTCTTGAAGGAACCCACAGATGTCAGCAAGACAGAAAAATCACAAAGCACGAAGCTTCATGGCAGCAGCTGCAGCATAAAATTTGAAAAAAATTTTCAAAAATGTGGTCAAATTAGTGAAAGGGAAGGTCTTCGGGGAATGCATCTGATGCTTGTTTTGCAATGGAAACTGAAAGCCCCAATTCCTCAGTGAGGTCCAAGAAACCTTGCAAGGTGCTGCCCTGCCCTGCCCTTTGCCCTCTTCCTTGCCTGCATTCGCACTCTCTCTCTCTCTCTCTCTCTCTCTCTCTCTCTCTCTCTCTTTCTCTCTCTCTCTCTCTCTCTCTCCCTCTCCTCTCTCTCTTCTCTCTCTCTTTCTCTCTCTCTCTCTGCTCCTCGGCTTCACCAAGAAGATCTGGTGTAAATTCCCCTTTCTTAGAATCCACTCAACCTATTGCAAGTAAACGTGAAAGCAACAAAATGGCTACGCTTTGGTTCAGGCTGTATGGGGGTGGGGGCTGGTTTCTGGTAGACATTAAGTCCAACTTAGCAAGAGTTCAGCGCAAATTCACCTGGTCCGGCTCAGTGTCAATAAATAACTGACATAGCCAAGGTCCACGCTGGCCAGGGTCAATAACTTATGCAACCAACATCATCCCTGGCACACGGCCACCACTGTGTGTTTGGGGCACAAATACAGACTATGAGGATGAGGATTGCTAAGGGCCCGGGCAGGACAGGGGCCTGAGCAGCTAAGAATAAAGTCACGTTCAGACACTTCCACCACTCTGTCTTTTCCGCAGGCTGCCCAAATCTCAAGTGAACCTCCCCATCCCACCCAGTGACAAGACACCTGCTCAGCCACCTCCTCCAAGGCTATTACAGCTCCCTGTACTGTTTGTTTCCCTTCCGAGACGCCTACAGACACGTGGAGTTACAACCTTGCGTCTGCGAGGATCTGTCCGTCCTGAGTCTTCACCCTGAGGATGTCAGTTGCATGATAACCACCGTCTGGTCACTGTACCTAGTGTCCCCTGTGAAATTTGCACTCAGCTTCTATTTAGGAATGAGCGTGAATATACAGCTGTCTACCTGATGGACCATTTCAACTATTCCTCAGCACGCCTGGGCTTGGTATGTCATTCCTCTACCAAATAAATAAATAGAGAGAATAAACCAGTTCAAATAGGTATAATTTGCCGAGATGGTGCCACTAATATGTGAAATGTAGTAGGTGAAATGTAAATTCACATATAAATTCACGGTTTTCTTTTCAAATATTTCTAAGTGGGTGCCAGACTCAGTACTACATACTTTCCATTCATTATTTCACTTAATCCTCCCAAAAAAGCCCTCGAGGTAGTTATATCCCTTCTCCAGATGGAGAAGAGATGAAGTAGGCCTGCCCAGAGTCGCGTGGCAGGGAAAGGGCAGAGGTCCCGGAATCCAAACACTGCCCTCTCAGGGTTGCCTTTGTTCTTGCCACTGTCGCACCACTGTGCCCGTTTCCTCCAACTCAGTTGTGAGTAGCTGGGGTCTAGAAGGGACCTGGCGGAAAGGCAAGTTCTGCCCAGGTGAGTCTATGTTAGGTAAGAGCGAGCAAGGGAAGCCAAACCGCAGGAACGGCACACAGGTTACTCACAGGACCTGAGAGTCGGGGTTGCCAACAGGCAGCTGCAGGGAGTCCGGAAGCTTCGGGGGAGCTCGGCCAGCGGACGCAGGGAGACAGGGGCCGGAAACAGTGCCCTTCCTAAGGCTTTTGCTTCCGGCTTCCCCCTGGGGTGGCTGATTGGCCGGTGTAAGAAAAACACATGCACATGGGGCCCCTACCTACGTGATACTGCTGTAGACCACTACATTTTGTAACAGCCGACAGCTGGGTGTGCTGGGCTTTGGGTCAGGGAACTGAAGAGCAAGCGTCTGTATAACAAAGCACTGCATGTTTTAACCAGGCCAAAGGTGACAGGCACCAAAGGTTCATGTAGTTTATGTCAGGCCGAAAAGTCTAAAAATGGGTGGCAGGCAGCACCGAGATGACACAAAGCTGTGGCAGCTACCTCTCTACTCTGTGCTTATGTCTGGTAATTTTTTTTTTTTTTTTTACTCGGG